AGTTGGGTGTCATCAGCATACTGATGGCAACCCAGCCCAAAACTCCGGACAAGCTGGGCGAGGGGGCGCATAAAGATGTTAAAAAGCATCGGGGAGAGAATCGCACCCTGAGGCACTCCACACACCAAGGAGTGGCGGGATGACAGTTCCCCCCCAAGCGCCACCCTCTGTCCCCGACCAGAGAGAAACGAGCGCAGCCATTGAAGGACTGTGCCCTGGATCCCCACGTCGGCGAGGCGGTGGTCCAGAAGTTCATGATCAACCATGTCGAAAGCTGCTGACAGATCTAGAAGAATCAGCAGCCCCGACCCGCCTCGATCCAGCTGTCTACGAAGATCATCTGTTAGGGCGACCAGAGCCGTCTCGGTCCCATGACCAGCACGGAAGCCGGACTGGAATGGATCCAGAGCCGATGTTTCATCCAGAAACCTACCAAGCTGTTCAGCAACCGCTCTCTCAATCACCTTACCCAGGAATGGAAGATTCGAAACTGGGCGGTAATTGGATAGATCTAAGGGATCTAATGATGTTTTCTTTAAGAGCGGACGCACCACTGCCTCCTTCAGTTCCCCTGGGAATGTCCCGGTGCCAAGGGACAAATTGATGATATCCCCCAGGGGGGCCCGCACCTCGTCTGGACATGCTCTAATCAGCCAAGACGGGCACGGGTCGAGAGGACAAGTGGTGGGCTTTCCAGCTCGGAGGAGTCTGTCCACATCGGCTGGGGATATCCGGTCAAAGTGGTCCAATACTGGACCCGAGGACAGTCGAGGGGCCTCCAGTTCCTTTATTGTATCCAAATTGGCAGGGAGGTCATGGCGGAGCGACAGGACCTTCTCCGCAAAAAAGCTCGCAAATGCCTCACAGCTGTGTGTCGAATTGTTATTTAAATTTGGCTGTCCTTCGAGGGACGTTAAAGACCGAATTATACTAAATAATTGTGCCGGGCGAGAGCTAGCGGATGCAATGGAGGCCGAGAAGTAGGACTTCTTAGCGGCCTTCACTGCCATCTCGTAGGTTTTCATAAAAACCCTATAAGATGTTCTTGAGGCTCCGTCACGGGCACCCCGCCATACTCGCTCTAGCCGTCTGAGGTCCCGCTTCATTTTCCGGAGCTCCTCAGTAAACCAGGGAGCCCGGTTTCTGCGGGGTCGCAGAGGGCGCTTAGGTGCGATCTCATTGATGGCTGCCAGGAGCTGGGTATTCCAGCCCTCAACAAGCTCAGTCAATGAGTCGCCAGGGGGAGAAAGGTCCCGCAAGGCTTGACGGAATCTATCAGGGTCCATCAGCCTCCGCGGGCGAGCCCAAATCGGCTCGCCACCTAAGCAGGGTAGGGGTGGAACGTCAATCCTGGCTTTCAGAGCGTAGTGATCAGACCATGGCACCTTCATCGAAGGAAACATGATCACATCTATACCGACGCCAAAGATCAGATCCAGCGTGTGGCCTGCTTGATGTGTGGCGCCCGAAACAAACTGGGAGAGCCCTAGTGTCGCCATGGAAGACACCAGGTCCAGAGCCTGTGAGGAGGGAGTGGCATCGGCATGGATGTTACAAAAGGCCTCAGGCATCTCCAGGGAGCAGGTGTGCTGACTCAGGCTTGTGGGTGCCCGCCGCCGCAACGTGGACATGCGATGTCACACACACATGCCTGCACATAGTGCATTTGACATCACACGCATGTGTGTGATGTTGCGTGTCCGCGTGGCGGCTCCTCTTCTTCCTCCTCTTTGCAGCCAGCGAGGCACCCTTTTCCGCAAGGAGGGGCACAGTCAGAGAGACTGTGCCTCCATGTCTGAGGCCCTCCCCCCAATAAAAGGGTGCTTCGCTCTCTGGTTGCAGAGGGCAGAGCTGAACTGCTTCTCTCTCAGAGAAGAGAGCCGTCGCAGAAGAGAGTCACTGCCACCTACCGGCTTTTCTCATTGACTTTGTGGGTGCCAAGCCCCCACAATTATATTATTGTGCACCCACGGCCTCCTGGATTTGGCTCCTGTGCCAGGTAGGGTTGGGGAAATGTTGGAAAGCTTCTGCAAGTGTTCACAATAATGAGCAACCTTGATCACCTTGGGAGAACGAGATAAGAGGCCAATGTGGTGTTGAGAAGGAGGAGTAGAAGTTGTTTGGACTCAATATCCTACCTTTCACTCCCCGTAAGGAGTCTCACATTGACTAACAATCTTCTTTCCCTTCCTCCCCCACAACAAACACTCTGTGAGGTGAGTGAGGCTGAGAGACTTCAAAGAAGTGTGACTAGCCCAAGGTCACCCAGCAGAGGAGCGGGGAATCGAACCCAGTTCACCAGATTACGATACTACCACTCTTAACCACTACACCACTGCTGGCTCCAAAAGTGCCTGGACTCCAAACATCTGTTCACTTCTGTGCTTTACTTCTACATGAGGCAGCAAGCAAAGAAGGCCTGCTTCAGGAAAAGCCAGGACTTCAAAGGTCATACCCTTGAGGCTCTAGCTGTGTTTGGATCGTGGCCAGAATGGTCATGAGAGGGGGGCAGGCAACGCTACCTGTCATGACCTCCATTATTCATGACACCAAAACTAGGGCAACCAGTGTTTCACCAGCGAGGGATTTGGGGAATCCTGCCAGTCAGTATTAGCCGTTCTCTGATCCATGGCACATCATATTCCCCTTCTGTCTCAAGAATGGACTCAGGAACCGCTTAGTTAGAGGCTGCTGCCCTGACTCCTTGGTCAAATCAATTGTCTTAGCTTCAGCATCTGAACTGCAACCCACTTCCTAGCTGCCTTTCTATGAGATGCTGAATTCATTACCTTCTAGCATCCCTGCCTGCACTTGAGAGGGTCCACCTTTCACACTCATGGCTCCTTAGGAACTCTCACTGTCATCACCACTGCTTATCTTATTGCTAGATCCATTTCAGCTGGAGTTTAGGACTGGTTTGGACACAGAAACTACTTTGGTCACCCTGTATGATGACCTATGTCAGGAGAGAGACAGGGAAAATGTCTCCCTGTAAATTCTCCTCAACTTCTAAGCAGCTTTTGAAACCATCAACCATGGTATCGTTCTGGAACAGCTGCCCAAGTTAGGGGGGCAGTGGCACCAATTTGCAGTGGTCCCAGTCATGGTGTAGAGGGCATAGCAAGGGAGGTGCGGTAGGTGCAGTTTGCAACGGGTGCCCCCACTGGGGGGGGTTGACAAAATGGCGAGCGGCACTCACCATGGGGTAAGCAACGTGCCCAAGCCACGTGACTTTAAACTATGTCTGTGAGGTGTGTATGTGTTCTTGTCATTGTTTGCTATGCTGTTGTGTATTTCTGTGTTTTTCTGTTATACAGTGGTACCTCTGGTTACAAACTTAATTCATTCCGTAGGTCCATTCTTAACCTGAAACCGTTCTTAACCTGAGGCACACTTTCGCTAATGGGGCTTCCTGCTGCCGCTATGCCGTCGCTGTGCGATTTCCGTTCTCATCCTGGGGCCAAGTTCGTAACCCAAGGTACTACTTCTGGGTTAGTGGAGTTCGTAACCCGAAGCGTTTGTAACCCAAAGTGTTTGTAACCCGAGGTACCACTGTACTGTCAACCACCCTGTGATCCTTGAATGAAGGGCGGCACAGAAATTTCATAAATAACAATAATTATTATTCCTCTTGCAGCTAGATAGAATCACTAACACACACCCTATTCATAATAATAAAACCATCCTGAAAATCCACCATCAGAAAATGAAAAAAAATACTTGCAGTGTTACATTTATTTTTGTTTGCTTCTTCATTTAAAACATTGCATACTGCCCTTTCATTAGGGTGGTTGTGTTACTCAGTTTAAGTCTGGTTTAAGGATAATCAATCCTAAGGAGGAAGGAGTTGAAGTTGTCTATCAATAGTTAGCTACTGGACAGCAGACTGAAAGGGCACACCCAGTTCACCCAGTTAGCCTTTGACAAGACGGCGAGATGTCCTGCATTAAATCAACCATTAACAACTTTGCATAAAGGTAAAGGTACCCCTGCCCGTACGGGCCAGTCTTGACAGACTCTAGGGTTGTGCGCCCATCTCACTCAAGAGGCCGGGGGCCAGCGCTGTCCAAAGACACTTCCGGGTCACGTGGCCAGCGTGACAAGCTGCATCTGGCGAGCCAGCGCAGCACACGGAAACGCCGTTTACCTTCCCACCAGTAAGCGTTCCCTATTTATCTACTTGCACCCGGGGGTGCTTTCGAACTGCTGGGTTGGCAGGCGCTGGGACCGAGCAACGGGAGCGCACCCCGCCGCGGGGATTCGAACCGCCGACCTTTCGATCGGCAAGCCCTAGGCGCTGAGGCTTTTACCCACAGCGCCACCCGCGTCCCGTCAACAACTTTGCATCTATATATGCAAATCAGTAAATTTTATATGCAATTTCCTGTCCTTTTTTTTTTTTTTTGGCTCGACCCTTCCTCAACAGATTCCTGGGTGGTAATGAAACCCTAAAAACACAATAAAATTGTCGCATTAAGGATAATACAAGGTGGCCACTAAAAATGTCCACAAATTAAAATGTCCAAGAAAGCAAAACGCCCTAGTCTAGAAACAAAACAAGAACCGAATGTAGGCACCGGCTGCATTTCTTTAAGTAAGACATGTGCTAATTCATTATTAAATGAATAAATCAAAGTCTTCTGCTTTGTTGTTATTTGGAGCACTTCCAGTTGGGAAGGGCGCTTAGAGAAGAGCCTCAGCAGATCTCAGCACGTGGGCATGCTGGTTTCAATCACTAAACTATATCATGGTTAAAGTTATTGCATCTCTCATCTCAACACTGTTTCCTTCACTCCCATCCTGCCTTCCCCCCAGTCAGTTCAGCGCCTGTGTTGAAACTCTGGTTTGGGGGGGGGAACAACTTCACACCAGCATGAGACCATGTATTTGGCCAAGGTCCACCTTTTGCTATGGAAACTCCATCATTCATGCCTGGGGAAGATAGCCTCTTGAGCCTGCGATCGACTCTTGAGTTTTGCCACAATCTACCACCACAGTACCTGAGGCTGTTGCAACTGGCTTGATATAATCAGGATGAACCAAGGAAATAAGCGGTATGAAGGGCCCCATCCACGTCACAAATCCCTGGGAGTAGGTGGCTACCAGCTCGGAGACTTTGGCCAAACCCTCATCACGGGGCAAAACCTGGAAGCAACAGAGGCAGTGAGTGTGGGCACCAGCAGGGACCGCGGTGCCATTGGGACAGGATTCTGGGGGCTAAGTCCGAAGCCCACCGGCCAGCAGAATGAGGAAAAGACTGACCACATCTGGAAATAAGTGACATAGAGAGAGGGTCCCATGTGGGGCCGTTGAGTCCAAGGTCCTGCCACATCTAACGGCATCACTGTACAAGTGGCAGGACTGCCGGGAACGAGGCAAAGGCGGTGATGGATGCCGGCCAAGGTTTGCAACAAGAACAAGAGGGAAGAGGTGGCGCTTCATAAAAGGAGCTTGCTGTTGGGCTTGGAGCTTGGGCTCTGGCCACCTGCCATGAGCAGGCACCTCAAGGTCTGGCAAAAGCCCCGTTCATCTCAGTGGGACGGGCAGCGATGTTCCCACTGGCTATCTGGGTGACTATACATACAGCAGCTGGTAGGCAGCAATGAGTCCCAAAGCCAGCAGCTTTCTCAGAATTCCAGAGTGGTGCTTCATATTCACTAGAGATGCTAGGGAGATAAGAGCATTGCTTAAGGAGGCATATACTGCCACCCAGTGCTTTTCTTCTAGATAAAATGGGGCTGGTACTTGTTTACCCTCAGAGATAAGAGCTGTTGCCAGCCATCCCTAAGCCCCCGGGGGGGGGGGAGGATGGGGGAATGAGCAGCAGCAGAGCAAGCCAATCAGGCGCCTGGGGCGGCGTGTGTGCCCTGGACCCAGAGGTGGGGTCAGCTGCCCGTGGGGCGGGGCCAGCTGCGGCAAGATGCTCTGTGGGTGTGATGGCCTGGGATTCAGACTCGGAGGCTGAACCTGAGGAATCCCAGCCTGCACAGGATTCCCCGCCTCCAGAACCAGCTGAGCCGGGGCTGGGGCATGAGCCTGAAGGGTCCTCACCTGTGCTGGATCCTCAGGTGCAGCCATCAGCTGAGTCTGCTCTGGCTCCTGAGGTGATGGAGGACCCATTACCTGCAGGTGCTCCACTCTCAGCCCTGTCAGGGGAAGCTGAGGTTGCCTCTGGGTCCGGTAACCCTCCAGCCTCTCCTGAGCTGCAGAGGCTCAGGGCAGAGAGGCGGAGGGAAGTAAGTTCCCGCAGGAGGAGTGCTCGCCTCCAGGCCAGGAGAGGCGAGTCACCTGTGGACCAGGGCCGCCCTATGCCTCGGGGCAGTTAAAAGCCAGCCAGCCCCAGTCCCAAGTTGCAGGAGCAACGTTGTTGGTAGCCAGTTCCTGCCTGCACCCTGTCCTGCCGGAGCTCCTGACCTCACCCAACTCCCTGCCTTGGACCCCGCTTCATCTGTGACGAACTACCTCCATACTGAACCCTCGACCTCGGACTGGACTCAGACCTCGCCTCACGGTTAACCCACGGGACCAGCACAGTGAGGCCTCCGAGGCGTCTGCCTGCCTCCTCCCATTCAGCTGCCCTACAGCTCAGGGGGAGGCGGCGGGTGGACCGTTTGGGGCAGCGTGGAGCCTGAGGGTGCCCAAGCCACTAAGTCACTCCCAGGAGAGATGCGTGGCTTGGGGGTGCTGCAGGCCCCGTGGTGAGTGCCGCCCACCATTTTGCCACCCCCCTCAGTGGTAACACACAGGGTGGCCCGCCCCCAGTGCCCCCCTTCCTCCGCCCCTAGGAATGAGGTTGATGAGTGCATAGGGGTTGATTGGGTGGGGCAAAGGGCCCAAGCCTATTAACCTCTGGGGGATAATTTGAGAGAGATACCCATGCCAACAGCCAGGAACAAATGCAAGCAAATGAGGGCTTCTCCACACTCAGCATCTGAGTGCTCTTTTTTTTCCACCCCACAGCTTTCACCACAAAAGGATGACACAAAAGCATGACAAAAGGATATAGAGGTTATCCACAGGTTGCCATCAGCTCTGATTCAGTGGTAAGAGGAGTTTTTTTTGCAGGGAAACTCCAGAGTTAAAGAGAGAGACAGACAGCGCTCACTTGGACATGGAGCTTTAAAGTGCAGACTTCTAGAAAGTGTGAATAAGCCCCGAGCTAGCCTTCTTGTCATGTCCCTGCCATGGGCACTGCTCTACCCGAGAGTCATCTCTGGGTTCATGCCCAGTCCCATCTTGGCAACTATGCTCCAGGGAAGCCTGGCCTGCTCATTAACAGCTCAGCAAAGACCTCAGCAGCTCCTGCCAAGAAGCTGGCCTCCTTAGAGACGTGTCACCGGGCCCAGGGCTCACAGTGTGCCCTGAAACAGTCCTGAGAGAGAGGGACGGCGAGAGAAACAAAGCGGGAGAAAACAGAGGAAGTGCTGTGAAGTTTTGGGGAAAGAAGAGCAAGGAGCCCGCTGGGCAGGGGGCTGAACGCACATTTTTGGAGTCTTTGATTTCTCTCCACCCCCACCCCACAAATTAAGGTGACCGGGTCTTGCTGCTATTGCATTCTGAAGGGAGTTGCTGGGAGCAGAAACCTCTACCTGACTTCTATATGGCTCTGCCATTTCTGGGGCTGGGAGCAATCTGTGGGGAGGACGAGCCAAACTGTGGCAGAGCAGAGCTGGGTTCAAATAACCTGCAAGGAGAAAACGCAAGGAAGAAGAAGACAGGACCGTGGTTGGGGATGCGGCAACATTTGAGCAAGCTGGGAGTGGAAGTTGTTTGTGAGAACAAAGGACCCATTCAATCTGTCCCTGTACCCCTTATGGCAAGCAAGATCTATTTTCTGAAACAAATGTTTCTCCCTTCCTCACATTCCAGCTAGAGTGCATTCCCAATCTGAATACATATGCAGTTTGGGCTGGCTCTCTCCTCATTTCTGCCTCCCGTTTACAGTGGTACCTCAGGTTAAGTATTTAATTCATTCCGGAGGTCGGTTCTTAACCTGAAACTGTTCTTAACCTGAAGCCCCACTTAGCTAATGGGGCCTCCTGCTGCTGCCGCGTGCCGGAGCCCGATTTCTGTTCTTATCCTGAAGCAAAGTTCTTAACCTGAAGCACTATTTCTGGGTTGGCCGAGTCTGTAACCTGAAGTGTATGTAACCTGAAGCATATGTAACCTGAGGTACCACTGTATAACACAAATGAATGAATGGATGGATGGATGGATGGATGGATGGTGTCTCAGACTGAAAGACATTCTTAGAATGTCACAACCAGCCCGCCCTGCAGTTCTGAATTTAGGCAAGGCTTGGGCGCCATCGGCACGCAGGTATGGCGGTCTGTATCCCTCGCCCACCAAAAGCAGGGCAGGCTGCTTCAGTGCCCCCTCCTTTCCCTCCCCTCAGCCAAGCTGGAGACCTCCCTCCTTGACCAAGCCAAGCCGCAGCTCCAGAGGCCACACTTACCAGGTTGAGGTGTCCTAGGAGCCAGTTGCGACGCGGGGGCTCTGGGAAGCAACGCAATCTCTGGCAGTTAACATAAAAGCGGTGGCACATGCCAAAGGCATCTGTAAGCGAACGGAAGAGCAAAGCCAGCAGCAAAAGCCCGAGGCTGGAGACAGCCATGGTCCGGAACAGGGTCTTCTCGAGAGCCAGCTTCTCCAGGATCCAGTCGGTGAAGGGCAACATTCTGGAAGAGGGAGGCAAGGAGGAGAGGGAGGCAGGAGGGACACAGTGTGCTCAGTGGGAGAGGGAGGCTGAGAGCAAGAATTTAAGCAAGCCTCCGCCACCCCCAGAATCGGTCACCTTGGACTCTCCCCCTTCACATTGGCTCCCCCCCAAACCTGCTACACCTTGCCAGACCAGTGCACATTGAAACTGGAGTAGGCGCCCTTTGGTGATGGGCCAAAAAACAAGAAAATTCCGCCTTCAGACAGACTCGCTTTCCTATTTCCCTCACAGTGCTGGCAACCCTGCAACTCCCCAAACAGTGGGCAGAATGAGATTCCAATTAGTCATGTGTATCCACCCTCCACTGTCCCTGGAACACTTTTATTCATTCACTTAAGTTGTCTTGGCGGTTGTGATCAGGGCCAGGAGACCGGCTGAAGGGGGGCTACTTTCCCTTCCACCTTTTTTTTTTTGCCTCACTCCAATTCACTTCCATGGGAAAGATAACAGTGCTTACATCTTTTCTTCCGAGAGGGGGGGGGAAATACCTGGGGGCAATTTTGAGTGCAAAAATACCCCAATGGGATATGGTGAAGCTGCCCAGAACCGCAATACCTCAGGGACCGCCTCTTTTCATATGAACCTACCCGGACCCTGAGATCATCCTCTGAGGCCCTCCTTTATGTGCCTCCTTCTCGAGAGGTCCAGAGGGTGGCAACACGAGAACGGGGCCTTCTCTGCAGTGGCTCCCTGTCTGTGGAATGCTCTCCCCAGGGAAGTTCGCCTGGCACCTTCATTATACTCCTTTAGGCACCAGGCAAAAACATTCCTTTTTAACCATGCCTTTGGTTGAGCTGATTTACATCCTATGCCCTTTTAAAATGTGTTTTTTTTGGGGGGGGGCTATTGGGTTGTTGTTTTTATTTTTATTAGGTATTTTGTGGTTTCTTATCTTGATTTTATTCTGTGAACCGCCCTGAGACTCCCAGGTATAGGGCGGTATATAAACTCAATAAATTAATAATAGTAATAATAATATTAATAACAACAACAACAACAATAATAATTCCCTCTGCTGCTTCTCCACTCAAACTCAAGTCTCCTCCAGAGTCTGGCAGAAAGATAACCAATTTGGACCCAAAACAAACATCGATGCAAAGCAGCTTCTTTACGTATGGGAATATGCTCGCTGCCTTGACCAATTGCTCGCCTCTCATTTATCACCATTCAAAAAGCAGAAAACCTGCCGTGAGAATGAAGGGTGACTTTGTGACGTCACAGGAGGCAGCCAATCAGAGAGCTCTGTTCTGCAGGCTGGCTTCCATCACTGTTAAGACCCAGCTTGCAACCCAAGTGGATGTTGGGGTGAATAAGAGGGATCCCACTACCCGCTGCCCCGGGCAAGTCCTGTATGTAGAAATTGCCTTTGATTCCCCAGACAGAAACTGGGAGCACGGGAGGGGATGCTACTTGGGTGACTCAGAAAGAGCCCTAGTGTTGCCATAGCCTAGTTTCTCAAACCTGGGCTGCCTAATCCACTAATTGCTTTCGGTTTGCACAGTAGGGGAAGGTGCAGCAGAAAAGTTGCCTGCTTGCACAAACTTTTGAAAGAGTGGTCTCCCTCATCTGCTCTGCCTTCCTTCCTTCTGAGAGAAGACAAGACAGCCTGATAGGGGAGACCTGGTGTCTCACACTTTTGCAGCTCAAACAGTGCAGGACTTCACGCTTTGCTCTGCGGTTACGTGAGAGTAGAAATTACAAGCGCGAGAAAGAGGTTATTGTTTTTCCCCTAAACCCTAGAAGCCTTGGCAGCTGTGTGCTAGAAAGAGAACACTCATCTTTAGGAGGTAAAGTTTCAGGTGGCATAACCAGTTACAGTGGTGCCTCGCAAGACGAAATTAATTCGTTCCGCGAGTTTTGTCGTCTTGCGATTTTTTTCGTCTTGCGAAGCACAGTGTCGGGAAAGTTTTGGAAAAGCTTCAAAAACCTCAAAAAGCTTTAAAAACCTCAAAAAAGGCTACCACACCGCGTTCCATGAGTTGCTCCTCGAAGTCAAGTCGCAACTGTATTAACGGTGTTAAGAAAAAGGAAACAAACTTGCAAGATGTTTCCGTCTTGCAAAGCAAGCCCATAGGGAAAATCGTCTTGCGAAGCAGCTCAAAAAACAAAAAACCCTTTCATCTAGCGAGTTTTTTGTCTTGCGAGGCATTCGTCTTGCGAGGTACCACTGTATACTGAATGCATTGGGGGGTGGGATTGCAGTGGCGGGAAAGGTAAAGGACCCCTGGATGGTTAAGTCCAGTCCAAGGTGACTATAGGGTTGCGGCGCTCATCTCGCTTTCAGGCCAAGGGAGCCAGTCTTTGTCCACAGACAGCTTTCCGAGTCATGTGGCCAGCATGCCTAAACCGCTTCTGGTGCAACAATACACTGTGACAGAAACCAGAGTGCATGGAAACGCCATTTACCTTCCCACCACAGTGGTACCTATTTATCTACTTGCACTGGCGTGTTTTCAAACTGCTAGGTAAGCAGGAGCTGGGACACAGCAATAGCAGCTCACCCTGTTGTGCGGATTCGAACCGCCAGCCTTCCAATCGGCAAGCCCAAGAGGCTCAGTGGTTTAGACCGCATCCCCTGTGGTGGCAAGCCCCACCCATTACAATTAGGCACATTCTTTCCATAGGGTTTAAAGACAACAGTCTGCAATCCAGATACTGGTATGAACAAGAAAAACACTAGAATGCTTGCATTCATGACTGCTGCTATGAATGGTCCATATGGGCATCTTGAGTGTTACATAGATCAGTGTTTCCCAACCACTGTTCCGCGGCACACTAGTGTGCCGCGAGATGTTGCCTGGTGTGCCGTGGGGAAAATTCGAAAGATTTTTTTTTTTTTTTGTAAAAGTCAAATTAGGTCCTAATCTATCCCTCGAGCGCCTCTTGTCCGTTATTGTGACGCATGAAGCATGTTCCCGCCCACTCCCCGCCCTCCCTTGCTTCTCTCTCTCTCTCTCTCTGTGGCGTTCTCCGCCGCTTCCTGCTGGGCATGCGCAGCTCGCCTCGCGCTTCCATTCCGACCCCTCCTTCCCCCGACTACCCCGCCGCTCCGTTCCTTTCTCTTTCTCGCGTGTCAGAGAGCGGCGGCGCGAGCGCGGCGGTTCCCTCAGGGCTGACGGAGGGCTCGAGGAGGAGGAGGCAGGACGTGGAGGCGGAGAAAGCGGCGGCGGCCACCCCCCACCTCCGGCTCGAGGCCCGCGTAGAAAGCTGAGGGGGAGAGATAGATAGAGGTGGGCGGCGGCGGCGGCGACCACGACCAACCGCCACAGTAGTTGTAGCGGTGGCGACGGCGAGCAGGGACTCCCGCTCTCTCTCCGTCGTGTCTCTCTCTCTCTCTCTCCCCCGGGCCCGTCCGTTGAGTCTCCCGCGCGCCTCGGCTACAAGATGAGCATCGAGATCCCGCCGGGTCTGACTGAGCTGCTGCAGGGCTACACGGTGGAGGTGCTGCGGCACCGGCCGCCGGACCTGCTGGCCTTCGCCGCCGAGTACTTCGCCAAGCCGCGCTCTCCTTCCTGCCTCGCTTTGCTGCCTCCTCCCCCCCACCCCCAAAGCTTGGAGGTTCCCCGGCGCCGACCCGCAGGTTTGACCCCCTTCTCACACCTGTTCGCGCTCCTTGCACGGAATGGGGCGGATGGGGAGGAACGGGGCTCGCCGCTGCCTCCGCTCGCCCTCCCCCCCTCCGCCGGCAGTCCCGCGATTCTTGGCTTTTTGGCGGTTGGCACAGAAGGAAGGCAAGGGGGAGGGGAAAAATTGAATCTTACACTTTCGTGCGTCCCTCCCGGCGTGACGCTGCGCGCTGACGTCACGGGGCTGTAATGGTGGTGTGCCTCGAGATTTTTTTCATGAAACAAGTGTGCCTTTGCCCAAAAAAGGTTGGGAAACACTGACATAGATAGCTCATAAACCACAATTATTATTTTTTCCTATTTGGACCCATTGTTCTCTTTCTCTCCCTACCTCCTTCGCTTTGGTATTCCTTTTTTCTTCTTTTTGGAGAAGGTTGCAAATTCCAAGACAGTGTCCTGGGAGACTGAGATATCTTCCCACTTTTCTTTTTTTAAAGAAATGTTGCCATTTCTGATGGCAGATTGGTGCCCATTTGTTCTTTTAATATAGCGAGAACAAACACAGAGACTGTACTTTTTGCACTTCGTTATCACTTGATAACGTCCCACATCCCAAAGTACGCACATATAGGGATTAAATGATTAAATGAAGATGGATTAAATGAAGATGATGCCGTCTCTACTCTGCCAAAGTTCATACGTTCTGCCAGAGTGAGTGTGTTGGTCTTCCTCACTGCACTCCCTAGGTCAGGGTCCATGTTTTTAGAGTGCTAGCCCTTTGACAGGAAGACATGGCCAGACTGTGTCCACTAGAAAAGTGTTGGGAAACTAAGGCAGCCAACTTTCTTTCTGTGCCACAAGCGCAGCTTGGTTTTTCTAGGTGCCGAAATTCCAACAGATCAGAACAGACTATTTATGTACGTGACCACTGTTGCTCGGATGTAACTAGCAGGGCTTGATTTAGGTTTGATGAGGCCCTAAGCTACTGAAGGTAATGAGGTCCTTTATATGTCCAGCTGTTCTTTGTCAACAACAAATCGTTGCTGTTTTTTGAGTTGAATATATGCTATATGGTAATTTATGGACCTAATAGGTCCATACACAACACAAAACACTGTTGCTGTATGTGGGTTTTATTTTATTTGTTTTTATCTTATATTTTGGAAATGTACATCCAGGTATTTTTTCTTTAATTTTTTGGGGGCCCCAAGAGAGTGGGGCCCTAAGCTATAGCTTGTTTAGCTTATACATAAATCCGGCACTGGTTACTAGCCCAGAGATGGAAAGAAGACGGAGTCCCTACCAGGGAAGAGTGGCAGATCAAGTTGATGGACTATGCCAAAATGGCAAAAATGACCGGAAGAATCAGAAATCAGGAAGAAAGACCAAAATTTTAATAAGGAATGGGGAAAAGATGTAATTTACCCTAAAAACCATTGTAAACAATTAGTAGGATTAGAATAAACACTTGTGGTTTAATGTTGAATTACGGCTGTAATGGAGATTTAATAAATTTGGATTGATAGACAAGATGCAGGAGGAAAAGGTCAATATTAGGATCCACAAAGGGGAGAAGGGGAGTCCAGGAGATTCTTCGGAATTCTCTTTCTATGCTGGTTGATAATTGTTTGTAAATTTCAAAATTTGAAAAAAATAAATTATAAAATAAAATAAAATAAGGGCAGCTTGGTTTGCCAACATTTAGCAGAGGGCCTCCTTGGTAGTGGTGCCAGCCCTGTGGAACGCCCTCCCATCAGACATCAAGGAAATTAACAACTTATATGACTTTTAGAAGACATCTGAAGGCAGCCCTGTTTAGGGAAGCTTTTAATGTTCGATGTTTTATTGTGTTTTTAATATTCTGTTGGGAGATGCCCAGAGTTGCTAGGGAAACCCAGCTAGACGGGTGGGGTATGAAATAATAATAATAATAATAATAATAATAATAATTGTTGTTGTTGTTAAAAGGTAGGGTACTTTTTGGGGGAAATCATGGGTAAATATACCCCCAAAAGAGGACATTAGGGGAAGCAGGCTTTGGTTGGGGGGCAGGTTTCCGCTGGGGGGGGGGAACCTCAGTTAATTAAGTACCTTCAATGCTTTTCCATATTTTTTGTTGATCTAGGGGAGGCAGCAGCCCCCCCCCTGGCTACGCCCATGGGGGCGCATGTCTGTGCCCTTTTTGCAATATTTATTTCCCCTTGATTGCATGCTTACACGATTTATCTCCCCTTTCCTTTCTAACACACAAACCTCCGAGGCACTCCGCGTTACGCACAGGAGGAAACCCAGCAACCGACCGACCGAGCGCCGACCGATCCCCCTTCCCCTGCGGGGGTCTCTGCGCTCCGCTCCGCCTTGCCCGGGGCCACTTTCCCGACGTTGCTTTGGCAGGTAGACAGCCGTGCCAGGAATGCAGCCAAGCAGGTGCGGAGGGCGAGAGGCGGCGCTTCGGCGGGATCTGGGCTGCCCAGGAGCCGACAGCATCACCTCTCCACCCCGGAGAGGATGCCCTTTGGACTGCTGCAAGCTGGCGCAGGACCTTGGCTACCAAAGCCAGAAAACGTGTCTCGTCGGAATGGCTGGATACCCGCGAGGAACGCGGACGGCAGCTCAGCGGGGGCGAAGCATCTCTCTCCAAAGAGTCCCCCTGCAGCGCACGGCTTTCCTTCCTTACCTGGCCTCGCGCGTGCGCTCCCCTTCCCCTTTTCTACTCCGTCTCTTTCCGTGCTGTGCCGCAGGTGAGAAGCGAGCCGAGAGCCACCTGAGCATGCTCAGCAGGCGCCCATCTCCGCCTCCCCTCTTCCCGCCCCTCCAGGCGGAGCAACGATGAGGCGCTCCCCCCCCCCCGTGTGGCCTCACCCATCTCTAGGCTCATCCACACTCCCCTTTGCCCCACATTTCTTTCTGGTTTTGTAAGAACTCAAAGGTTTCAAATACAGAATGAATATTCATGAATGCGCACATATCTAAATATGTAAGCCACGTGTCTGAAATTGTACAGGTGAGCAATCCTGAAGCCACTTTGACTCTCCCAATGACCTCAAATATTCCTCTGCAGTAAGGGAGGCAAATGGGGAAAGCCTTCTCTGAGGAAAAGCCCCGCGCCCCAGCAGATCACACACAGCCTTCTAATGGGGAAATAGGAAAACCAATGAAATTCCTGCTCCCATGCAACCAACCCTTCTCTTGACATTGCAAAGAAATCCCGTGTACCCTAACATAACAAAAAAGGATCAAGATAAAACAACACAGACTTGTTGGAAGCTAACGTTAAATAATCACAAACTTGCCTTCACAATACTTCCCACAAATAGAGGTCACCCTCATATGCTCAAAGAAAAGTAAATATTCCGCAAAAAAATCGGAATAGTCACCAGGGGCCTCGTGACAGCAGAAAATATCATCAAGGTAAAATTCCTCCCTCATGATACGGCCTAAAATAGGGCTATAGTGACTTTTAAGGATGGGCTCTCATCTAAACAGACCCTCTCAAATACAATTTCCTGAGGGCTGGCTTGCTTGTGCACCGTTTCTTCGAAAACATCGAAGACCCTTTACCACTTCTAGGAGCGCATAGGCCAGCCAGACCAAAAACCAAAACCAGCACTGCAGAATCCTTCCCATCGTCTTTTCGCTTACAAATTCTGTCTTAAGGATGTACAGTGTGTTACGGAAAATCCCGGGCGTGGAATTCCAAGCCACCCGGTGCGTCGGACTGAGTCCGCGGGTCCTAGCGGAGAAAATAAGCTCAGCCGGAAACAGGAGCAAGATGCGGAGATCCGAGTTTATTGCGCAACAGGTTCAAGACGAGATTGAACCCCGAGAATGGGGCGACATAAACTTTTAAAAGTTCCCTCCAAGTCCCAGAATACAGTGCACGAAACGTCATGAATACATTATGGGAAGGTTGGGTTTCATGGATTACATCACGAATATTTTACACACGTCATGAATATATTTACAGAGAGGTGGGGTTACACTGATTAGCATTTGAGACAAGGGAGGGGGAATGTGCAGAGTGATGGATATACATAAGTAAACATTTCTTGAGTACCGGTGGTGGCTGGACAAAGGGACAGTGATATGCATCGTCTGCCACCTGGTATTGCCCGGAGGAAGGGTTAGGCAGGACGATCTGACAGGATTAAGAAGTTCCTGTGTACGTGCCCTGCCGTTTGAGGGATTATGGAGGTCAGGGTGTCATCATGGAGTCCAAAGGGAGCTGGGTTGAATGACACTGAAAGCAAGGAATTCGGAGCTATGGTTGATTTTATATGATTTTCGGAAGGTTCTGAAGGTTCCCAACCTGTTCCGTAGCCCCGGTCAAAGTTGGATACATTGTAACAAGGTTTTGACAGGTTTACGAGCAAAATGGATACATTGTAACAAGGTTTTGACAGGTTTACGAGCAAAATGGATACATTGTAACAAGGTTTTGATTGGATTAGGAGGTCAGAAGTTTCGGTTCGATTGTTCTCGCTGTGGGGCCGTCAGTAGCTTGTCAGCAGCTTTAATGAGGCGTGCAAGAGCTCGCTGAGCTGCCTTAGCTAGTTCTTGCAGGATGGATGCATGGCTGTGATTGGCTAAGGCGCAGCTCAGTATTTTGAATGGGGACGTAGTATGATCCGGTCAACTCGCTTTAGGAATAGGGCAAGAGGGAGGCATAGGAAGAGATTGAGACAGGAAAGAGCCTTTTATTAGTAAGGCAGGGGTATAGTGTGGTGCTTGTGCAACGATGTGGGGGCTGAGGGTTCCAGGAAGGATTGGGCACTGTAGAGGTCATCGCCTCGGGCCCCTTCAGGTAGCGATGGAGGGAAATGGTTGCCCCCCCCTTCCTCCTTCCGTATCAGTCCCCCATTCGGAGATAGATTTGCATTAAAGTTCTGTTAGAACTTGCAAATCCTTTCTCCGCACCCTATACCCCTGTGATTTCATACTCCCCTTCCCCCAGGTGTCTCATTTGCACGTATTCGGGGAAGACCGGAGCGTTATGGGAGCGGGAATAGGCTCGAAGGGGAAAAGGAGCAGATTGAGTCGGGAGGCGGAGGAGAGAGCAGCAAGGGGAGACACAATGTATGGCACAGCAGAGGACAGAAATGCAAAAGGCAACCGTAAGAGTTGTGAGTAATATGACCTTAATCAATTGTCGGAGCCACCCCAGCTTTGGTAGCCATCCCCACAAGTCAACATCAGACAGTCCCTCGTGTTGTATGTCATGTAACCTCCCTGCTAACTCATGGATGTTGTTCAAGTGTCCCGTAATGTTTAGAGACTGGTCCGTTACGTAGGTGCAACACTCGGTACCTATTAGAGCGCAGGTTCCTCCTTGGCTGGACAGTAGAAAGTCCGTAGCGATCCTCGTCTGTAAACTCAGCTGTCTCACCTCAGACAGTTCCGACATCAGGGAGTCCGTGATCTCGGTTGCCTCCTGCATGAACTTGAGGAGGATATCGGTGAGCCGGAGGATGTCGACGTGGTTGGATCCTGCCCCATAGGCAGGAAAGAGTGCTCGACCCACGGTCTCTCCGTTGGCAGCAACATCGGATAAGTCAGACAGTTGTTTTTCCTCCCGTTTATTCCTCTGCCTCCCAGGGGGCAGGTGTGGTACTATCCTTATGCCGGGAACGATGTACCCGACGAAACAGGACCCGGACATATGGGGGCTCACCCAGGTATATGCACGATGACCGCATACCCAGAACAAACCACTGAGGTATGACTCCATTCTTCCTGAGGCGAAGGCTTGCAGTAGCATGGCGTCGGTAGGTTGGGGCTGCCAGGTTGGAGGGTGGTCGATGACCGTGGCCCAAGCAAGGGTAAGGTTTGGAAAGGTCCGGGATCCCGTCATGTCCGTGATGGTAACATGGCCGGTGGTTAAAAGCTCTAAATTGGACGTACAGGTGCTGGAGCCGATGAAGGTGCCTTCCCCGGTGAAGGTGCGGCAAAGCGGACCCTTTGTCGGACCGGTGAGGTAAAGGTATTGGTGGGTCAAGTTCAACGCAGTCAGATTCCAGGAGGCGACATCCCCTGACCGGAACTGTTGTATGGTGACCGGGACCGGAACAAGGGGAAGGCTCTGTTGGAGGTGGCTGGGAGCATGGGCGCAGATCCAGCATTCAGGGTAGGGTGCCTCCTTGGCCACCTGGCCGAGGAGTTTAATGTAAGAGTTCTGTTCCCAGGAGGAAAGGAGATCCTCTCCTGGGGAGGAAGGGTCTGCGCCGAGTTTTCGTGGTGCTGTGCCGAGGGGATGAAGGGGGTCGGTGGTATTTAAGAGGCGCCTGTCTTTGGCTATGCCCCCACATCGTAAAGGTCCAACGTTATCCCACGTGGGGGAGCGTGAGGGATGTGCTGGATGGTACCAGCCCTCAAGGTATTCTGCTCCTCTCCAATCGTGGGTAATTCCGAGGTTCCAAAGGCAACAAAATTTCCTTAGACAAAGTCCTTGTAGTTGCGGCTTTCGGAGCTCCGGGGTCATGAGGAGACATTGGAACCCGAAAATCAGGTTGTCGGAGGGGCTCGTTGCGTCAGTGTAGGCTGGTGCGGCCCCCCCTTTCTCGATTTCGGTCCAATTTGGGCTCCTCAAGAGTTCCCCGTTGCCGAATAGGAAGTGGGTCCCGTTCTTGCAGGTGAGGCGGTAGTAGGAGTGGTCGAGGGTGACTGCGGCTGACCCAATTCGGTGTAGGGTTTGGTCTCGGATGAAAAGTTCCCAATACTCGTTGTCAGTTAGCTGGGGTACGAGGGAATGTCGTAGTAATGTCCGGGACTCGGGGAGGCAAAAGTCAAAGTCCCCCATTCGATTGGGGTTCGACTTCCCACCCGTCTCGAGTCGGTGATAGTCCAGGAAGTGGTAATCGGTGGGTAAGCCGGTGCAGTGATCAGTTGGCATGGCTGAGGAGGAGGTCAAAGTCGGGTAGGCAAGGAAAATGAAGAAGTTCATGGTTAGAGTCCGGGAAAGGCAAAGCATTGGAGAATAAGAAGGTCGGAAGGCTGTGGGAATGTGCTGTTAGAAGAACTGTCAAAGAAGCTGTCAAAAGCGCGCTGTCAGTGGAGTTGTCAAAGGAGCTGTCAAAGCGCGCTGTCAGTGGAGCTGTCAAAGGAGCTGTCAAAGCGCGCTGTCAGTGGAGCTGTCAAAGGAGCTGTCAAAGCGCGCTGTCAGTGGAGCTGTCAAAGGAGCTGTCAAAGCGCGCTGTCAGTGGAGCTGTCAAAGGAGCTGTCAAAGCGCGCTGTCAGTGCGTTTCAAGCGTATTCGGATGGTATTGGGATCGGGGACGATCTCGGATGTCCAATTGGTTGAGGTGGGCTCTGGTCCGGTCTGTTGGGCCCGATTCTGGCCCCGATCTGGTCCGGTCTGTTGGGCCCGATTCTGACCCCGATCTGGTCCGGTCTGTTGGGCCCGATTCTGACCCCGATCTGGTCCGGTCTGTTGGGCCCGATTCTGACCCCGATCTGGTCCGGTCTGTTGGTCGTCGTCGTCGTCAATGTACGAAGTTGGTGGGGTGGGTGGAGTTGAAAAGGTGAAGTCCTCCCCGATGTTTTCCTCGGCTTCTTGAGGGGGGGTGAGGACTTACACCTCGTGTGATGGATCCACGAATTCTTCTCACCCAACTTTACGGCGGTTGGTGACGTCAGGAGTATCTGGTAGGGGCCTTCCCACGCGGGTTGGA